TCCTATCTCAGCCTTCCCAGCACTGGGGTTACAGGTGTGAGCCACCACGCCTGGCATGGCCGGCCCAGGGTTCCAGGGCAAGCATGATATGTGGCCTGGGAATCGAACTCAGGACCTTGCACTTCCCAGGCGGTGCTTATGTCGCCGAGCTACCTCCATGACCCATAGCTTTCATTTTTAAAGTCTTCCTATCTGACAGGGACACCAGGGTAGCACTGCAATGCATTCCATTTATATTTCAGGGCCATCTTACTATGGCACATGCTGTTAACACCCCCAGGATAGCAAGCCCTAGAGAGCAGGTAGGCAGCTCAGCCCAGGCCACACAGCTGGTAGAATCTGGCTTCACGCACCCTGTCTGCGCTACATCCCATGCGCTCACCTACTGCCTATGCTACTCTGTGCTACCATATTCCTTAAGCTGTGAAGGCCAGTCCACGGTGAGGCCAAGTGTGAATACTAACATCAGAGCAATGACAAGGACTATGGGTTTCTTTTTGAGCATCTCACAGTCATCAATTTGTAAATAAGCAGCTGACTTCTTTTCTTCCTCAACAAGAGGCCACTTGGACACAAAACGTAGTGGAAGAATGAGACAAAATCAGAGGAGAGCCTCAGTGCAAATCCCAGTTTAGAAATGCAAGCTAGCAACTATCATCAAGGCTTGGTTTCTTGTTGCAAAATGGAAACTTCAAAATGCTATCAATGTTGCCAGTTGTCACGAGGCTTAAAGGGAATAATGCCTGCAGGGACCACCCTGAACGCTGCAAAGAACTGTGGGCAGAACTTGCTATTAAGCAGCAGAGAATAGAGGAACTGTCCTGATTCTCTACTCGATTTTGAACGTGCTCTCTGTTGGTTTCTATCCCCTCTTCCAGCATTCTGAACCCCAGAAACCGGTTAGCTCCTCTTCAGCTGACTCTCGTTAAAATTTGAGCAACTGGGTGAAGTTCTCAGTGTACAAAGTACTCCTTGGTGGAGCTCATGGCACTTCTGAAAGGCTGTGGAAATAAGTCTTGTTTGAACTAGAAACCCTTCTGTTAAGATTTTGGGGTGGTTCATTGTGGTTCCTTCAACCACCAAGTGCTTCAAGGACTCCTTGGGCTTTAATGTTGCCTTCATAAATCTTGAGAGTTAGAAGTAGATAAATCTAGAGAACACCTGGGCATTTGCCAGATAAAGAAACAGAGGCTCAAGAAGATAAATACCTTTAGATGGTAGTTTGTTTACTTTTCTCTTTGCTGAGACAAAATACCTGACACCCAAAGTCAAAGGTAAAAAGGTTCATCTTGCCCCAGAGTTTGTTGAGGTTTCAGTCCATCGTTGCCTGGCTCCAAGCCAGGGTGGCATGGCAGAGGGGGAACAAGGGAAGAAGTAGTTCATGGCAGGCAGAAGGCAGAAAGGCAGCAAAGCAAGGAAACAGTGAAGTAGAAATCAGCAAGCCAGGGCCGGCCCAATAGCTCAGTGGATTAAAGCACCTGCCTAGGCAGACATAAGGGCCGGGGGTTCAATCCCTGACCTGTGGTGCTGGCCCTGCCCCCCAAGGCATACTGAGGTAGAAATTGAGCCTGGGCATGGTGGCACGCATCTTTAATCTCAGTGCTTGGGAGGCGAAAAAACAGGAAGGATCACTAAGAGTCCAATCTGTGCAGAGAGATCCTGTAGACCCTGTGCTAAATACATTTTAAAAATGAAAGAAATCAGCAACCACAGCAGCCCCCTTTTGGTCCCTTATATGCTATCCAGGCTACTTGGCCCTACGGCAGGTAGCACACACACCCACGGTGGCCCTTCCTGTTATCCATGCCTACAACTATGTCAAAAAATCAACTGACTCATTTAGTAGTCACACACACCCTTGATCCCAGCACTGCACACTTAATCCAAGCATCACACACTCTAGATCCAGCCACCTATGAAAAGCCCCACCTGTGACTGCATGACGCTTTGGAGGGACATCCAGACACAAGTCATAACAGATGATGATTATTAAGACGCTCATGGAGTCATCTCCTGTGAGAGTTGGTAAGAGCCTTGTAAAGCTTGTGGTCTAATTATCCATAAGGAACGAGTAAGTTGGCAGGCAGGTTGGTATAATGCAAAGAACATGAACTTTGGTATCATACAGAGCTGGCTTCAAATTCCAGTTGGTTGGTATGAAAGATACCTTTATACACAACTTGATTGGAATGGAGAGCTTCCTAGAGAGGTGGTTGGATTATGAGGGAACTGACTTCACTGAGTGGATAAATCCACTGATGAGGTCATTAGTTGAATGGGCTTATTAGGATACAGGACCTAACTGGACAAAACAGGTCACTGAGAGTCTGGTTTGGAGGTATATTTTGTCCCCAGTCCCCTCCTCTTGGGATTTTCCTCTGCTCTCGGCCTCCTGGCTGCCATGAGGAAGGCGTTATTCCTCTCCCTGCCCCCAGCCCTCTGTCATGATGTTTCTGTCTTAAAGCCAGCCAGCCATAGGCTTGCCAGTGAAACAGGGAGCCAGCATGAAACTTTCCTTCTTTAAGTTGTGTCTGCCGTGAATTTTGTCCTAGTGAAAGAAAACGTGGTTAGTACAGATGGACTACTGCTTATATGACCTTGGAAAAGTTATTTGGTTTCCATGGCTTCATTTCTTCCCAGAGAAAAAGCACTTTACCTGCTTCTGAGACAGGTGACAGATGGCAGATAGACAGATAGATAATAGACAGACAGACAAATAGATGATAGGTAGATAGACAGATGTACAGAAAAATCAAGCTAGGACAAAAATGAGCAATCGATAGGACATTGGAATTACTGCTAGAGTTTAATTATTTTCATTCTATGTTGATAGCTGTGCATATCCATGATTGCAATCAGCAGAAGCTTGATGTTTCTTCTCTCTCGTGGTTTCTGAATATTCATGAGTGCCTAGCCGTGGTAGTCATTGCCTATGGTGCCCTGATCCCTAAATAACAAGAGAGTTCCTATGTACATCCACTTAAGGAACATTTCTGGATCACAGGGCCTGCTCTGCTGTTTTGAGTTGGTCAGGCTTCTAATCCAAAGAGTGAATGAGACCACACAGGTCTCAGGTCATGGCTCCACCTATACGAAGCCATCGCGCATCTTCGCTCACCGGGTGGCTGTGCCACTCTCTCCTCCCACCCTTCAACCTGACCCCAAACATTCTGTATTCTCATTTCTCCCATGAGAAATTATATTTAGTTGCAGCGTCGTCACTGCCAGAAGGGAGACGTGCTTATTGAGAAGTCCTTGACTTTTGTGGCAGATGAGTAAGATGACTCAAGACTTGGCTTAGCCGGACCTTAGACTATTTTACCAGGGGTAACAAATCAGCCGTGCCTCTGAATACATAATCCATGCATCAGTCAGAGAGAAGAGTTTCAACAGTGAGGACACATTTTAAAATTTGTTTTTGCTATGCCAGTCCTCACCAGCTCTGCCTCTCTCTTGTTCACTTGAATCTCAATGCACAAAAGCAAAACAGGGAGCAGGCACTCCAGGGGATTCGAGTCTATTCTTGATTACTGTCCTACAAGAGTGCTTGGCATTCAGAGGCCCCCAGAGGCAGAGAGTGAGTGAATGAGCACGGCCTGACCTTTGCAGGCATCCTGCCTCATCCTTTGCTAATGTGGGTCTACATCACCGTGAACTTGGCATATGTTCTAAAGGTGCTCCTTGCTCACAACTTTCAAAGCTGTTTCTTATAAGGGAGGCAAGAGGCGGATAGGAGACTAGAATGAAGGGAGGAGACACTTCCAGGTCCTCATCTTGGTCCAAGAAGCCAATATTTATAATCCCAAAGTTACGTTATTGGAATCCCATCAAGTTGATTCCAATCTACCACTTTCAATGCAACCCATGGCGAAAATAAAGACACTGAATTATATTTTCAATCACTGGGGAGTCAAGGGACTCTAAGTCCAGCCAAAAA